ATTTTCCTAAACAGGCGCTCCAAAAGATTTTAATAGGAGCATAATGAAAATAAAAAGGGAAAAAAGAAAGATTTCAGGATCCAAAAATTTTGAAAACATTTCATGACAAGTACTTCTCTTGGAGATTCTTAGGCACATTGGGAATCTGAAAGATCCTGAGGAAAAATCCAGTTTATCTTTGGTTAACATAGATTCTACACTTTTAGCGAAATATGGAATGGAATTTGGGTAAGCCCTGGGAGAATGGAAATTAGGCTGGCCACATATGGCCACGCAACCTGATTCTACCCACAACCTCAGTTTTCTTCTCTGAAGACAAGAGATAATACCTGCCCTGTCAATGTCCCAGGGTTGTTAGAAGGATCAGCAACCATGGTCACATAGCTTTTCTTTATGCTTTTATTCACTTACAATATTTCGTATCTGGGATGTTGATAATACCTATATTACTTATCCAAGAGGGCTGATACAAAATAACTGATATATGTGAAAGCACCTTGGAAAATAAAATAGAATATAGTATAGATAGAAGATTGAACTTACTGTTTGATTTTTCTAATTTATTGATGCTATGTTAGGAAGTTAAAAGATTTTTTACTTATGGACAATACAAACTAAAAAAAAAAAAAAAATGAATCTACGCCTCTATTCCAATTCCGTATTAACTTGATGCCACTTCTGAGGTTAACACTTTCAACTTACCAGTAATGTTTATAGACAGAGGGCCACTCACAGTGTTCTTTCTGATTGTCACACATCCTTAAAAGCCTAGAAAATGAGAAATGTTTCCATTGTACCTCCATTCACATCCTCCGTATTTCTTTTGCACTTTGTACTTTATCATGGGCATGTAACAGACTACTGATTTCAGACCTGGAAAATGGCTACATGCCTGTGTGTGAGGCATATCAATGAGGACATAGTGTAAACATTATCATTATTTCACTGGAAAAGTGAAAAAAAAATATATGAATAAGATACTGGAACTCTTTATTTTGCTCTGTCACACTGTCTAACAAAGTGAATCATTATACCAAAAGCCTACAATTTGGTCTATAAAAAGAGATTCTTCATCACATCTTTAACTGAACATTAAACCAAAAGAATAAAAGTGGCTATCTTATTCAGAAAATATCTGACTCATAACAAGTGGACTATAATTAAAACAAAGTGAATATTACTAAGGATTTGACATATCAACAAACTAAGTTTCAAATAGATTAAACACACACACAAACACACAACCAGACCTGTGCATATATAGCTAATTGATTTGAGAATACAATTTTATTTGTTTAACAGATTTTTTTTCCCAAACCAAATATGTCTCTACTTCTTCTGAAAATATGAAGCTATTAATTAAAGTGCGCACACACACACACACTACACACATATTTTTAAAAAGTCTAAACAATGAAATTCAAAAGAAAAGCTTTTGTATTTAAAAGGCAAGATCAATAGCCTACACAATTCAAATTTTCCAGTTAATTTTTTAATTCTGCGGTTTACTTTGTTCATTTGGAAGTGACTTTTTAACCGAAAAATGTACTGAATATTTACTGCAGTTCTATACAGATCAAACTGACTTTCACATACACAAAAACAACAGTATCCAGTTTCTAATGTTCTTTTTCATAATATATGCAAAGAATGACTTATTACTTGTCACTTAAAAAAACACACATTTCCTCTAATGTTGGGCATTTCATAAAACTGTCTCTATAACATACCGCATGTCCATATGTAGGCAATGTGTAAAAGAGACTTTGGATGTCTTGCCATGGTTTGCAGTATATGTGTTGGTGTTCCATGCCAACTTTCCATTCTCTTTACCAAAGAAGTTGTCTAAATTGTTAATGCAGAATATTTTAAACGTAGAATGTCATCCAAACCATTTTTCCCTAATATACTTTTTAAAGGGGAAAAGGTCAGAATATTCCAATCAGTGGACGTACTCAATCTAATTTATGCACCCAGGAGCTCAAAACTGTGCGTCATTTGACCATTTTTCATTTGTTTCTAGTGAGATTAGCGATAGATTTCTTACTGAATTTATAATCCAACTTAGAGTAAAGAGAGAAAATAGATTATGGAAGTCTAGTAGCTGTAGCTGTTCCTGTATTTTGTTTGTTAAGGGCCAATTTTGGACACCTGGAAATCGAATTGGAAAGACTCTGAAGGAAAATAGAGTCAAATCATTAACCCTTTCCATCTTGTAAGAATAAATAGTAACCAGAGATTGGTAACCTAGAATTATTTTAAGGAATATGGACTGCTTTTTGAGGACATGTCTAATGTCATTTTTCTAAAGTAGAATATTGGCCTTGCAGAAATGATGGGCAAAATGCTAAAAATGGATTTCCACCACTCGCTGTCATTCCAAATGAGATGCTATGTTTCCAAAGAGTCTTCCATGGAAAAAAAAAGTAAGTTCGTGAAAATAAGAATTTCCATGTGTTTATGAAAGAACACCATGTTCTTGCCAGTAGGACTGGTAAAACTCCCCCTCCTCACCAAAAAAGAAAAAACAACAACAACAACAACAATTAAAAAATAAAATGAAAAGTAAAGAAAAAGACAAGGAAAACAACCTACACTGCGACCCCATTGAAAAGTTGAATATCAGGTTTAGTTCTGTTTGAAAAAACTAAATACATCCAGGCCTTTTTCAGATGCATTTAAGGTCTTGTGTTTATCTGCTTTTTTGTTTTGTTTCTGTTTTGTATCTGTTGCTTACAATAAAATGAACATTGACAAACTTTGAAAACAGCCGATACTTTTTACATAGAGTACGCCATAATGTTCAAATCTAAAGATGTTTGTGCTGCCCAGGCTAAGAACCCAAGGCTTACACTTTAGTCTTTCTAGGAACGTGGACTCAAATCTTTCCACTTTTGCCATCTATTCCTGTTGGTCATTAGTCACTGTGAATAGGGGAAGAGCATTTAATTACACATCAATAGAAAGGCATGAGTTATAATTCTGCCTTATTTTCTCAATCACCTATCAAAAATCCAGTTGCTTTGGGGCAGCCCCGTGGTGTAGTGGCTAAGTTCGCACACTCCACTTTGGTAGACCAGTGTTCGCAGGTTCGAATCCCTGGCGCAGACATACATGCCGCTCATCAAGCCATGCTGTGGCGGCTTCCCATATACAAAACAGAAGAAGACAGGCACGGATGTTAGCTCAGGGCTAACCTTCCTCAGCAAAAAGAGGAAGATTGGCAAGGATGTTAGCTCAGGGCTAATCTTCCTCACCAAAAAAAAAAAGAAAAAAAAGCCCAGTTGCTTCTATTAGGTACCTGCGTAACGTTGGGAGAGGCAGTTTTCCCGTGGATTCCTTATCTTCCCTCATCTGTAACCTACTGGATGGGATGAATTGATCTCCAGGGTTCCCTCCAATTTTAGTCTGATCTAAGCATCATCTTGGAGATCAGGATCAACTCTGTAACGAAGCAGGAGTTAAGTTCTCAGTTCTTTACACCACATCTACCCAGTTCTAATTCTAGAATTGTGTGCCTTTCTTAAGATTTCAGGTGCCACAGAGATAGGCCCTTGAGAGGAGGCATAGCTAAATAGTTAAGGGAATCAAGTAGAATCAGATTGCTAAGGTTTGAATTTTTGTCTCTGTTACTTATAGTTCTGTGACCTTAGTAAGTGACCCCATTTCTGTGTCTCCATTTTCTCATTGTAAAATTGGGAGTGTTCACCTCATAAAGTTAGGGTTAGGAATATAATGTGTTAACATATGCAAAGTACTTAGGGAAGTGCCTGGTGAGAAATACGTCCTACATAAGTGTTTGCTATTATAATCATTCCCTCTTACAGAGCTCAAGAAAGATGCTGATGGTAAACATTTGTATTTAACACTGATCCTAAAGTGCTAATCAATTTATTGGAACTCAACATTTAATCAAAAGTTAAAACATGAAATGGTGGTGATAAGATTATCATAATTTGCAGATGAAAGAGTTGTCTATTTTGAAAACCCAAGAGGCATAAATGTTAAGCTATCACAAACACTAAAACATTTTTAAAAAGCAGTAGCTTTTCTGCAGAGCAATAATAAAAGTTTAGAAAAATAATGGAAAAAAAAGTCCCATTCACAACGGAAACAAGGTATAAAATACCTAGGAATAAATGTAACAAATAATCATTTGACAAATGAAAAAAAAATCTACTGAGAAACATGATAGAAAACTTAAAGTAATGGAGAAGCATACTCTAGTTGTAGATTGGAAGACATATTATTACCAAGCTGTCAGTTCTCCATATTTTAATATACATCAGAGCAATGTACTAAATAACCTCAGCCACTTAAAATGTGTGAATTTTGTTACATATAAATTATGGCTTAATAAAAAAAATCTTCCCCATGCCCCCATGTGTTTTCAAACTGACAAGATGATTCTGAAATTCATCTATAAAAATAAATATTTGAAAAATGCAACAGAGAAATAATTTGAGATGCGTTATTCTATTAAATAATAAAGTAATGTATATTTGGAACCCAAAGGAGTATTCAGTTTAGTGGAAAAGAATGGATAGTTCATTAATAGATCCAACATGGTAGCCAGCCTCCAAGATAGCCCCCAAATAGCCCTTATCTCCTGATATTCATTCATGCCCTTATGTCTTCCCCTCAAACACTGAATAGTGCTGACCTTTGTAAAAAATAGGATATTGTGGAAATGAACATGTGTGACTTTTGATGATAGGCCATGAAAGACATTGTGACTTTTGTCTTGTTCTCTTTTGCAACACTTTCCCTGGGGGAAGCCAACTACTATGTTCTGAGGATACCCATGAATCCTCAAAGGAGAAGTCCATGTGATAGAGAACTGAGGCTTCTTGTCAAGAGTCAGAAGCAACTTACAAGCAATTTGTGTGAGCCCTTGGAAGTAAATCTTCCAGCTTCAGTCAAGCCTTCAGATGAGTGCAGCTCTGGTGACATATTGACTGTGACCTCTTTAGAAACTCCAAGCCAGACCATCATTTAAGCTGCACTCAAATTCCTGAACAAGAGAAACTCTGAGATAACACAGATTTATTGTTGTTTTAAGATACTAAGTTTTGAGGTAATTTATTACGAAGTAGTAGGTAACTAATATATATGTATAAATAATTATATGGATTGCATATGATTATATATAATAATATATATAAATATATTTATGATATATAAAATATAAATATATATAAATAACATATAAGGATAATCATATGGACTGCACTTCGATGGGAATAGAGAGGCTATCCAATAATCATATCTTATCAAAGACTAAATTACAGACATAATATAGATGTAAATATTGAAAGGAAGTATGAAACCACCCAAGTATTAGAGAAGGCATATCAGAATGTACAATCTTGGATTTGAGGGCTTTTATAAGCATTACATCCAAAGCAAATCTCATAAAGAAATATACTGACAGATTTTTTAATCATTAAATATAAACTATTTTTGCATTAAATAGTATAATAAACAAAATGAAAATGGGTTTATCTCAAGAACAAATGGCTGATTTTCATGACAAAATATATTTTTGAAATTATGATGTCAAACTGGGAATAGAAATTGACATTTTAAACATACCAAAGACTATAGCAAATCTATAAGAAGTAAAAAGCTTACTAACGAAACATTAAAAACATCTCAATTTTAATATGCACCAAAATAAGATGTATAACATTACCATTTTTATTTAATAGTCTAATTGGGGTTCTAAGGCACTTAAGAAAATAAAAACAACATAAACGGGATAAAAATGGAAAGGAATAAAATAAAAATGCCACATTAATAGATGCTGCCATTGCCTATAAAGAAAAAAACCATAAGAAAATTATGAGAAGAGACCTAAGCAATTTTGTTGGATATACATTCAAATAGAGAAATCAATTGTACTTCTAATCACTGGAGATAAAACAGATAGGAAAATTTCAAAGATATAATTCAGCAAAGCAACAGACATGTAGGCACAGACCTTACAAAAGATCTGTATGGAGAAATTTGTCAAACTTTGTAGAGAAATTTGTAAAACTTATCAGTAGGTTTTAAAATGTACCTAAATAAAAGGAGAAAACTCTATTGATGAGAAATATCAACATTCTAACAATGTTCATTCTACCCTGTTGGATCTATAGTTTCAATGCAATTCCAACATAAATATCAGCAATCTGTTGGTTTTTATGGCATGCTAAAAAGAATAAAATATGTATTTGAGTGTCAGAGAAAGTAAACATGAGAGTCATTCTTTCGATGTTGCACAGTTATTCCAAAGATATCAGGATTCTGAGAGCATAAATAGCATATGACTATTCACTTTAAAGAAGGTATGAAATGGTCCAGTTTTGAAAACTACTATAACATTGCAAAGCAAATATCCATTGATTTAGAAATTAACAAAGTACTAGGCAGCTTAAACAACAGAAACTTATTCCTTTACAGTTCTGGAGGCCAGAAGTCAAAGATTAAGCTGTTGTCAGGGTTGTTTTTACTGAGTCCTTTCTCCTTGGCTTGTAAATGGTCATCTTCTCCTTGTGCTCTCATGTGATCTTTCCTCTTTGTGTGCCTGTGACTTAATCTCCTCCTCTTCTTATAAGACACCAGTCATATTCGATTAGGACCCATCTATATGTCCTCATTTTACCTTAACTATTTATTTAAAAGCCCTATTTCCAAAAACAGGCACATTCTGAGGTACTGGGGGTTAGGATTTTCACATGTAAATTTTGGGGAGACACAGTGTAGCCCATAACAGAAATTAAAGATTCTCACATTCAACTGAAAACAACACTGTTTTCATTTGAAGCTTCTGATGAATCAATTGCTAACAAGAAAGACTATTTTAAAATTAATATTTTCCTTATAATTAAAGATACAATGATAGAAAGCATACATAGGAGTTTTGAATCCTATACAAATCATGAAGCCACTTTCAGTTTATTGTAAGAACTTAACAAGGTACAGATTATCTGAGGAAATATTACAAGGCCATTGTATAAATTTACATTTTAAATTAAATTCAAGCTTACATGAAAGTGATTTTTAGGAAGACTTAAATCTTTTTAGAAAAATTGTTCCTTAAGAATCATCAACTGTAAATGTACTAATATTTATATTTTTAAATAATCTATCTGAAATTTATCCTAAAGTTTTCATACCCTATAAAATACTCCTAACAGTTCCAGTAACAATTGTGTCAGTAGAAAGATCCTTACCCTAATTAAAAATTTTCAAAAAATATTTGCAAACTTGTATTTGCCAAGAGCAAATGATGTTACTTTCAATCATATCTATTGAAAATGGAGCTGCTAGGTATAAATTTTGATAAACCTAAAAAGTGAATTTGGAGAAAAGTGACCCAGAAAAATCTTCTAATCAAGATATCACGTTAATAAAGTATTATTATTTAGTGTGTTATATAAAATAATGACATCAAAATATTAGTTTTATGCAATTTGTAAGTTTATGTTGTTACTCATATACACTATTGTCCCTATTATGTTTTATAAGTAATAATACACTTTAGAGGGTAAAGCTTTATATTTTAGTACCTTCCATGATACTTTTTCTGTGCTTTTTAAAAAGGTGCCGATGTTTGCATTTTGCACACTTGGGCCCTGTAAATTATGTAGCTAGTCCTGCTTGGTAGACCTGGGAGAATATCAGGTCACAAGGAAGGTTAACGCTGAGATTTACCCCTAAATGTTCTCTTTACAAGTACATCAGATAACCTAACCTTAGGACACTGGTAAATTAACATGACAAAGAGATTTATGCTTTCAGAGAAATACAAAATAGATCGGGGCAGAGATATTTAAAAGTCAGAATGGCTCCATGGTCTGTAGGACTAACCTAATTTAGGATATTAAAATATATATGAAAAAATACACCAGTCAAAAGAAAGAGACCTTCAGCCTGAAAACGCTGAAGAAATCGAATTTTAGAAACATATCTGGGCAGAGGCGATCCACACATGTTTCATCCCAGAGAGAGTCTTATTCAAAGGGCTTTGTGCCTATTCTGGTCCCGTTAAACACGTGTCTGCTATTGTGATTTACTAAGCAGCTCTCTGATTACATTTTCCATTAGGATTGCATGCTAGGACATAATTTGCCAAATGTGCTTTAAAGAATATTCTATTTTATTAGATCACTTGCTAGTTCTGTTTCTCATCATAAACGCATCAAGTGCCCAGACTGGTGTGATGGATTGAATAGTATTGCTGTTTTAACTAGCTAAACGTTAATTCACTTCCATCCCCAAAACAATGTAAACTACAGGAACTGATATAAAACAATGAGACCAACCAATGAGAAAATTATAAGTAAGATAACATTAGTCAATATTGATCATCTCCTTGATTTTGTTAGTTTTTCGGATGTTACACCTCCCCAGGCACCCAGTATCCCACTGGATGACTAAAACCTACTAGTGTTTTGTCTAACTAGGACCTGGGCATTTTCCTTTACTCAAGACCAGTGGTTCCTCGACATAATTGTAATTGGAATAAACCCAAAAACTTCTAAATAATACAAATTCTTAGAAAAATACTTTCCCTTCTAGATCTTGTGAGTCAGAATCTCCTAGAATTTTTCCTCTTATCAAGTTACCAATTTAAATAGTATATAATCAGGACAGCAGAGATACAGGAATTGGTACTTGGGAGCCACTGCCTCATATACAGGGACTGAATGTTTGTGTCCCCCCTAAATTCATATGTTGAATCCTAACCTCCAGTGTGATGGTATTAGGAGGTAGTGCCTTTGGGAGGTGACTAAGTCATGAGGGTGAAGCTCTCATGAATGAGATTAGTGCCCTTAAAAAGAGACTCCAGAGAGCTCTCTCTCTTCATTATGTGAGGACACAGTGAAAAGACAGCTATCTCTAAACCAAGAAGCAGGCTCTCACCAGATACTCAATCTGCCAGTGCCTTGATCTTGGACTTCCTTGCCTCCAGAGCTATGAGAAATAAATGTTTGATGTCTAAGCCACCCAGTCTATGGTATTTTTGTTAAAGCAGCCCTAACTCATGAAGACAACATATTTCCCTAACTTTTCCAAATTTATCACAACCTATCTGGATTTTATCCTATTTTGCATTCTGCTCTTTGGCCTTTTTAATGTTTGTTAAGAGTAATGGTATCAAATAATATAGTAGGTAGCCAATATATAATATACATCATCTAGTTAGTTAATAATAAAATTGAATTAAAATGGACAGGACCCACAGAGAATGTCGTTCTTTGAGTTAGAGAGTGACTAGGGACACATTAGTATATGGCTTCAGCCGTCGAACCTAAATATGTTTCCTAAAATTCATCCTGAGAAGCTGGTTTTGTTGTGTTATTCTTTTATTGAATATAATCATTTTTTATGGATAAGAAGATCTTGCAGTGGATAAAAAGCTGATATAATGCATTAGCAGAAGTAAGTCTAGTCCGGCCCTGAGGTCCATAAGCCAAGGGATGAGCTTCCAAACTGGGAAGGAATAGATACAGACACAGACACTGAGTATAGAATCAAGAATTGAAGGATCAAACCAGTAAGATCAATGAGTTTGGGAAGTTAGTGGGGAGAGTGGTCCTGTGAAGATGCCTGGAAGAAATGTTATTGTTTTCATTGTCTGCCTTTCTATGCCATGATCCATCCAGTCTCTGCTGTATTTAACCAGTGAAAAACTTTAAGTTACAGATCATCCGTGAGATAGAAGTAGGATCCCACAGATCTCAAATTCTCAAAGCACCTAATAGCGAATTTGAATATAAACTTTCCAGTGGTCTAATTCTTCTCTAATAACATACTGGTTTATCATCTTAGGTCATCTAATCTGATGGTGGGGTATAAAGTTTGCTTCACCAGCTCTTTGGCATATCATTCACAAAGACATCCCCCACCCTTTTATTTATTTATTTTTTTGTGAGGAAGATCAGCCCTGAGCTAACATCCACGCTAATCCTCCTCTTTTTGCTGAGGAAGACCAGCTCTGAGCTAACATCTATTGCCAATCCTCCTCCTATTTTTTCCCCCAAAGCCCCAGTAGATAGTTGTATGTCATAGTTGCACATCCTTCTAGTTACTGTATGTGGGACGTGGCCTCAGCATGACTGAAGGAGCGGTGCGTGGGTGCGCACCCGGGATCCGAACCCAGGCCGTCAGTAGCAGAGCGCGCACACTTAATCGCTAAGCCACGGGGCCGCCCCCCCCTTTTAAGATGGGTGCTCAGCCAGAGATCTCATGCCACATGGTCATCAAGCCACACTCTGTTGCTATGTCCCAGGATTTAATATGACTCCCTCTTTCATTCATTGCCACAAACAGGTATCAGATTAAGGGCCTCAGAAGCTTATACTGCCGGGGTATAACTGAATCTCTTTTGCAATCTAAGACAGAGATATTGCAAGGTGAACACCAACGAGTAATTCAGGAAATGGAGACATGATGTAAAAATATTCTAAGCGGAAGGCAATGTAGAAATGAGAGAATCAGGGAGACAAAGGCATGAGAAGATTAGGTAGACAGATAAGCAGGGGAAAATAGGGGAAATCCTGGCAGCAGGCATTGTTTTTAGTAGCTGAACTTCACACATTCTTCCTTTTAAAAGCACAGGGCGGTTACATACATACCCAACGCAAGAAAAGTCTATCACTTTCCAGTCCAAAGTTCTGGGTTCCTATTAAGCACTCAATCTTCTCTCAGCAATCAACATCTAATTTTCTGAAATGATTGCCCAAAGCATGGATGGAAAGGGAATTTGCTGTCTTATCTATCTTTATAGTCCTCGGAATGACTACTCTCTTCAAATATTGGTCACCTACGTTTTGAGACTACTGTTTACATATGCAAACAAATTTATTGTGCCCACTCTTCCTAGTTCCAATTGTTTAAACTAGAATATCATTTCATTTTATACGGTGGGTGTCCTTAGCTAGTCCCGTAATAAACTTCCTGAATTACCGTAATAACAAGATTCATGCCAGAGAGGGTGTATTTTATGGATGTGTCGGGAAATTTTAAAGTTAGAGAAATCAATGATTGTTGAAATGAAGAGACAGGTTGATAAAAACTAGGGTGTGATTTGTGTTTATTTTCAAACGGCTCTGGTAGTAACAGATCATAAATTAAAATGTATAAAATATCATTCTATCTTTAAAATCTAAAACAAGGGAAGCCTGATACAATTTTGGAAGTAATTCTAGAAGTGTTAAGTATCTTTTAAAAATAAATTTTAACCCATTTTATTTCTTGGGACTATTTCTAACATCATCTAATATGACAATGAAAACTGGACTTCCCTCAGGCCAACAAATAATATAAAGTCTTTTAGAATTCTTCAGAGTTTGAATGGAATGGACTAAAATGGAACTATCTGGTAAGACATAAAAATCAAAGTTTGGTTAAGATTTGTTTAGATATTTTTTTTTTCACTTTATTCAGTCTCTGTGCTCCCTGCTTCCAGGACAAGGATCCAAACTCTAAGATTCTTGGGAAAGACTATTCAGCAGAATGTTTGGCCTCTTCAATAAATGAAAAGACAGGTAATATCATAAAATTACACTGTTATATGCAATTTCCACCATAGATTTTCAGCTCAAAGAAGCTTAGATGAGCATCAATAGGTCTGCATTTTCCCCCATTTTTCTACATGAGGGTGGGTGAGGAAGGGGTGGCCACTGGAAGTATCTGGGACAACGACTAGTTACAGAATCCCCCTTTTCCTTTCCTCTTCATTAGCTGCCAACTATTTCTTTACCTCAGGATTCTATCAATATCTAAAATCTCCAGTATCCCCTGTGACCAGGTATCCTAGAATTTCACTAGCCCTTTGCCCCTCAACCATGGTGCAAAACTGTCTTTATTTCCTCAAAGAATGAAGTAAGAACAATTTACAGATTATCTGTGTCGGCATGTCCTCTACATTCATTTTCATTTTATTGAAGTAAAATGAAGTCTACTGCTTTGGTGGACAGAAAAAAAGGACAGACCTTGCTTGTCAAAATCAGACCTGACCTTTTAAAATGAACCAGGTCAGACTCTAGCACTATGGATAGATTGTTTCCACAAAAGCAAGACTGATTTCCACATGATGCAAGACTAGAATTATAGCATTCCATCATCAAGGATTTTTAAATAGGATTTATTTTTTAGAGCAGTTTTAGAGTAACAGCAAAATTGAGAGGAAGGTACAGAGATTTCCCATATATCTTCCTGCCCCCACACATGCATAGCCTTTCCCGTTGTCAATATTTCCCAACAGAGTGGTGCAGTTGCTACAATCGACGAAACTACACTGACTTAAAAAAAAGAAAGTTTTCATACCCTGTTTTTTTAATTAAAAATGTATATATTTAAGGTGTACAACACCTTACTTATACATAATGAAATGATTACTATGGTAAAGCTATACATATCTACATAATGAAATGATTACTGTAGTCAAGCTAATTAATGTATCCATCTCCTCACAGTTCCTTTTTTGTGTGTGTATGTTGAGAGCACCTGAAATCTACTCTCTTAGCAAATTTCCACTATTCAATACAGTATTATTAACTATAGTTGTCACGCTGTATGCTAGATCTCCTGACTTTTTCATCCTACGTAACTGCAACTTTGTACACTTGAACCAACATCTCACCATTTCCCCCACCTCCCTGCCCCTTCTATATATTTGACTTTTTTTGATTCTACGTATAAGTGAGATCAAGCAGTATTTTTCTTTCTGTGTCTGGCTTATTTCACTTAGCATAATGTCCTCCAGATTCATCCATGTTATCTCAAATGGCAAGGTCTCCTTTTTAAAGGCTGCATAAGATATATATATGTATATCACAATTTCTTTATCTGTTCATCCATCAATGGATACTTAGGTTGTTTCCATATCTTGGATATTGTGAATACTGTTGCAATGAACATGAGAGCGCAGATATCTCTTCAACATTCTGATTTCATTTCCTTTGGTTTATACCTCTTTTTGATTTTTTTTTAAGAAAGCACTGTTTTCTCTTAGAATATGTCATTTTTTGTGTACAAATCACTATTTGTGTACAAAGGAACACTAAAGCAAGACAATTCAGTTGAGGCTTTAAGGCATATGTTCACTTGAGAGAATCTTAATATATGATCCCCTATTAGAGTAAGTTTGCTTGGCTGAAATTGTGTGGCAACATATATCTAATTCTTAGGGTAGATCTATGACTCCAAAATTTCAGTCAGGTATATAAAATTATGCATAAGCTTTTGCTATAGGCTAATGCCATCTGTACTGACGTTTTCTCTAAAGTGAAACTTTTATGTAATAAAAATGTATTTCTTTGTCACTTGGTTAATTTATTGCAACCTTAATACACTGGAATCATAAGTTTAATGTGTTACTTAAGTATTTTCTAAAACCCATTAAAATAAATATTTAACTATTAAAATCAAAGGAGCGCATCTAAGAATCACCAAAAATCACCTTGGATGACACACTTTGGAAACACTAGGGTAAAACAAGATGCTAAAGACATCCTCATTGTCTCCTTATGATTCTCCATTCTGTTTTACACATGCATTCTACTTTCCTCAACACCGGGTATGCCTAGGTTTTTATTCATTTGAACCCTTTTGACAACATGTCTTAAAAATTATAATCCGTGTTTTTCCTTCCAAGTGATCCAAGAGATGGCTTAACTGGTAAGAACAGATGTCCCACTGTTTTCTGACCATAGAGGCAGCTCTTTGTTTTTTGTTCTAATAGTAAAAGTAGAAAAAAATCCTTAAATATATTATGCTAATATTTATTTTAAAGGGAAGTTCTGTTTGGGAGAATGGTGCCTGTTTACATCAGATGGAAATCGTATTAGTACAGACACTTTTTTTTCCCCAAACTCCAAATACACTTGTCCAAAGGGTACAAAGGCATCATAAAAGCTTAGTTAGAACCAGACAATTGCACAGCTTTGCTTTTGTCTGACTCCATTCTAATCAGTTGACTTTTAAAATTGAATGAGAAACATTGTTTCCTGATAACAGACGAGAGCATGAAAGGCTGGGAGCACAATACGGGATAGCATTACTCACCTTGGAGAACATGGATTCCAGGTGCTCTCTGCCCGATCATTCTTGTCATAGGTGAAGAGTTCAACTAATGATAGTCCTGATTTCTGAATCTAAGATCAGATGAAGTTCAGGGGAGGAAAATCTTAAAGAGGAAAGAATAAGTGAATTAGGGAAGGAAAATAAATAGAAAATAGAGAATTGAAAAAATAAAACGAATAAGAAAAGTTTACATTAAACATAGAGAATTGTAAGGCACGCTTTAAAATGACGATACTAATCTAACCCAAGTAGTGAATTATTTTGGTTATATCTTCTGAAACATTTAGGCTAAAAGTTATTCTTGATGATGATAATTCAAATTTTACAGGGCCATTGCTCTAGGAAATATAGTGCTTCAACATTTCATTAACTTTACAAATATTGTTGTGAATAATATTTGGGAAAATAAAATGGAAATGAATTAGAAAGCCAGGCCTTAGTTGTCAAGCACGTGAAACAGACGATGTGTGTCTTCAGAACCAAGCTGTCAAATCTTGAAGAGCTGCTATTAATGGATCCTTTCTTGGTCTATCCTCCCTTTCCCCACTCTTCCTCTACAACTCTGGGACCTTTAAACACATTTCCCAAGTCTGTATGGCATCCTCTCTGTCCAATGGTACATATCTTCAGACTCTACATCAGTCATTCTGTGCCTCCAAGTTACCAACTACCTATGGATAATATGTCTCATGCATGGTAGAGGTGCTTCTTCCTTCAATTTTGGATGTAAAATTAAAGTCATTGAGGTACAGACTTTCAAGGTACAAATCTAAAACTCAGATAAGGTAAAGGGAATTTTTAGATCCATAGTTTAAGATGAAAAGCTCCTTGTTCTGTCACTCATGCTAGCCATTTAGGCGGCTGCCTACAGAAAAGAAAGAGTCAAGTAGTTCAAAGTAGAGTTTCCATAGGTGATGTGCCTGGATTGAATCTCTGCTTTGCAACTCATTGGTTGAGAGACTTCAGCTAAATTACTTACTTCATCTGTAAAATGGAAATAATAATTGTAGCTACTTCATAATATTGCTGTGAGTCTATAATTGAGATAATACAGATAAAATACCTGGCAGATTTTCTAGCATGTATTAAGCATTCATTCTGGCATGTAGTAAGCCAGTATTATTTTGTGTTGTTATGGTTGTTACTACACTACCGATAAGAAATGGTGCTGAGTAAAGTGACCAATTTATATGGTGGTGGCAATGGGGAAGACCAGACCCAACCAGACAAGGTTCTGGCAGGGAACAGATTACATACTCAATTAACTCAAAGAGTTAATTGAAGAGAGTTCAACGGAGGGAATATTTGCTGATGGAAGGAGAAGATTAACAGAATCATAAAGGGATGGCGAAGTGCCCAGAGTCTTGCAACAGTAGGAAGCCCAGCAATAAACCCTGCACGCCTGGAGAGGAGAAAGTTATGTTACTAGAACCCTGAGAGAGCTGTAGATGTTGGAGAGGGGTCACCCTGCAAAAGCGATGGTTAGAGAGTGACAGCCCAGCAGGAAAGTGGCAGAGGGCTACATAACCACTCTCTACTCTTCTGCTGGTAACTCTCACCGAGAGAGCACAGCTAGAAGCCAGACGGAAAGATCCGAGGCTCTGCAGTTCCTATAGTTAAACTCCTTGGGTAGAAAGTAAGGCAGAGAATGAATCTGGAGGGGCAAGCAGAGAATAAGACTCGTGGGCACGCACACCACAATTTCAATTTATTTTTCATAAGCTCCAACTCTTGCCAGTCTTACGAAAGCAGGATTTACTACTTGTTATTTAAAGAACCTCTAAAGTTGCTTTGTTGGGCCCTGGAGCTTTGTGGATTGGAGCTTGGATCTTTGACTTACAACAATATTGTAGGACTGATATCTCAGAATCCCTGGGAGCATAACTTCCAAGTACTTATATTTTGCTTTTGAACAGTAAAAAGCCCAGTTTTCTGTCAAACAGGATATCACTAATATAGATATAGTTCCTAACGAGCAGTTTCTGTCAATATATTAATTTCAATGATTGAATTTGAAAGTTTATATCAATAAAGTTAAAACCAGATATTATACAGAAACTCAATTTACTTCTTGGACATGTGTACATTGGTTGAACCAAAGTTACTGTAGAAGAAATCTCTGCTATGATCCCAAGATTGTACCATCTTTCAAATAAAGCTCTCCATTTTGTTTATTGTATTATTTCAAAATAAATGTGACATTTCAAAATAAATTTGGAAGTTTTGCTATTGACTAAATTATTATGAATATTTTACAAGTACTTTTAATCCACTTTGGCTGCTTGGACTTTCATGTTGGGGTCTAATGGTAGCGTTAATTTTGGACAAATGTTGACTGGCATTTAATATTTGCATTTTAAGTTGTCTCTCCTGAGTCATCATAACTCATCACAAATCGACCTTTAAAAATTAAAGCTAGTATATTCATTACACTGAGCAATTCATCGAGAAGATTCCAGGACATTGGAAGACTTTTTTTCTCCAAAAACTGAACTTGAAATTTCTTGGAATGTGATACCATGTCTGAATGATAAGCAACTGGAGGTAAGAGTCCTCTTTAGCTAGCACAGGCTTTCACACACAGTACTTATAAAATAATTGTCAGCTCAACAGACTTTAGGATAGATACAGCATGCAAAAGGAAATTCACAACTATAAATACAAGTAAATATTTGTCATATATTAGAAGTAATGTACTCTACTGCAACCTGCATAAAAAAAAAATTGGGCAAAGTGTGATTAAACTCACATGTAAAATATTCCAAACAGCATGGCTAATGTCCATATCCAAAAATGTCATTCATTCCACGCACTCTGACCAAACCACGTCCCATTAAAAAACAAAAAATAAACAGTTCAAAGAGAAGATCAGGAAGCACTTGACATAATGATTCAACCACAATAAAATATTTATGATTCTCTCTTTCATTCAGGAAACTATTTGATACCATCATGCAGTGAATGAAGTTGGAAGCAAGGAAAGAGTATTGACGTCAACACTTATTATATTAGTGAAATAAATACTGAGAGAATGTTTAGAGAATCCTGTGACAATGAAACAAATGCACATTCACTTTGAACTAAAGGACCAGGAAAATCTGACAGTTGATGTATTTTAAAAAAATGTAATTGGTATTAGGAAATCAAAGTAGTAATTTTATGTTTTTATTAGAAAAATAATCTTAAATACTATTGCCTAATTTTAAAAACATCTATAAATTCTATATTTTCTAACCACCTGCACCCCACAATTCTGCCTCTCCTAGAAAAGCCACTGATATTAGTCCAATGTTATTAGATGTTCTATCTCATTTGTGCATTTATAACTGTGTGATGGAGGCCAACATAATCACAAACGTTATCAGAAAGAATCGTGAAATGTTATTAGGAGTCAAAGAAAACTTTGCCCTATTTTTGAGCTGGCAAAGGCAAAGAAGAAATATTAACTCAATTAATTAAAAAAAAAAAAAAAACGGGGAGGGCTGGCCCAGGGGCATACCGGTTAAGTTCATGTGCTCCACTTTGGCAGCCCGGGGTTCACAGGTTTGGATCCCAGGCGCAGACCTACACACCATTTATCAAGCCATGCTGTGGCAGGCGTCCCACGTATAAAGTAGAGGAAGATGGGCATGGGTGTTAGCCCAGGGCCAACAGTCTTTCTCAGCAAAAAGAGGAGGATTGGCAACAGATGTTAGTTCAGGGCTAATCTTCCTCACAAAAAAAAAAAAAAACTGTGAGAGAGAACAGAAAAGGAATTCAGCAATATGTAACTCTAGGTAGATATCATCGATATCAAGATTATCTCATCTATTTCCAATCAGTGCACCAATTCTTAAGCCGCGTCTCTTCCTATGAGAGTGCAGTTATCTTGGAATTGCAGCTGTCGGGAGCACACATTGTTTTTCCTCTCTGGTTTCTTGCTTTCAGGAACTGGATAAAAAGTAACTACTCCAACAGAGTTCAGGGCTGGGAAGCCATCTTTCTTGTTGACCTTTCATATCTAGATGCAACACGCACTTTAAATGATAAAAATTTTACTTGAGAAATCGTGATGGATTCCAAATTCTTTTGAACTTCCCTGGACTGCAATGAAAAAAGAAATATTCTCCAAGGCTGAAGGTCTCTATTCCCCGGCTTCAAGGTAGAGAAAAAATCTTACAGGAAGCAAGCAAAATGCTTTCTTTCCATGTCTGAATTCCATCATTTGAAATGATTCCTTTGGATTTCTAAGGAAATAGGTGAGATTTCCAGCTTTTTTTTCAAGTTAATCTGCCTTTCGAAAAAAGTTTGCACAGAAACAAATAAATTTTGATGAGAAGGAGAGAAGTCAGGCAGAAATCCACAACCAGCCAGACTAGAGAGAGGTATGCTGTTCAGAGCTTCTGGGCAGCAAAAATGTCCACCTGAGAATCCCAGTAACACCGGGAGAGGAGAGCAAGATCTCTCAAGTGAAAGATTCAATGACAAAATCTCAAGGTTAAAAAGAATTTTAAAAGAATGTTATTTGAGCATAACTCCTATCTGTTTGTTGGATTAAAAGCCAACATGCGGTAGGTTTCTGGGAAGAATGCTACAGCAATGGTATAGGTTTTGAATCTCCTTGGATCCCCATATAGAAAACCAAAAAGTTATAGAGAAAATTACATCTGAGCAAAGGCATAAAGAAGATGAACAGATTAGTCACATCAATATCAGAGAAAAGAGTAATCCAGACAGAGAAAACAGACACTTCCAGGAGGCCTCACAGCTGGAGGGGGCCTTTGAGGATGATCATGGGGAACAGTGTGGCTAGTGCAGAGGAAGAGAGTGTGACAGGCAGGTGAAGCCGGAGTTGTCCTGGAGAGGCACCTTGTCCCAGGACTGTGCCTTCTACTCTGCATGAGGTGGAGACTCATTGGAAGCTTTTAGAGCCTGGAGAGGTGAACTATGATTAACATAATCCCTCTGCTGCTCTAATAAGACATTTATATGAAGTACTCCAAAAGAGCTAAGAAAAAAGACATAGAGAAAGGGTGATACACACTAAATTATTTATACTGGGATTTAAGGGAAGAGGAAAAGGGAAATTTATGGTTTTTCCTACGTTCTACATCTGTGGTTGATTTTACTTATTACAATGAGAATGCATTACTTTTGTAATAAGTACAATCCTATATATGTGTATGTATATGTTATATGTGTTATACATATATATGTTATATATACATATTTTTTTAAGTTCCTGGGTTCCAACTCACATGTGTTGCATAAACTGTCTCCAGTCACCCTTCTAAACAGTCACCCGGGAACTACTTTGTGTCCTCCCCTAAGTCAGTCTTCTTATTCTTGGACAGCTTTTGTTACTAAACAAGTTTTCCTCATTCTGATCTACATTCTCTTTTCCTGTAACTTCTCTCCAACCTGTGCTAGTTTTCATTGTTAGGAGATACAGAGTACGGGCTTAATAATTCTTCTACGACCAACTCATCAGTTTGCTGTAGAGAGGTGCCGGAAGTTGGAGAAACCTAAACAACAATCGACACATTTCGAAACTTAACCAAACGCTGGCTGCGCAGAGTGGGCAGAAGTAAACGGTGACAGTAAGAGGAAGAAATAAGCAACGAAGGAAGTGTAGTGGGAACGTGTACTTATCTGGGATATAAAAAGAAACTGCTTTGCGTGTTGGGCAATCTTACAACATCCTAGGTAAGTGATTGAGAAATCTGAGGTCCTGGTCTGCTACTAAGGGCAACGCCAATGAAGAACGATTGAGAAATTAAGTCCGGAGAGGGCTTAACACCCTCTTATTGGTCTCAAAGTGGACTGCTTCTGTTACAAGAATTATTTTTAGAAATGTTATCTCATATTTTCCATGCTTATATTATTTCTTTCCCTTCTAATTTTACACTTGACTGCCCTGAGTGGGTGTATGTGCCTGAGGCGTGGGGGGTTAAAGGAGGAAGTGCTAGTTTCAAAACACAAAGGAATAAAAATCTCTTAGACTCAAGTATAAGAAGCCAACAATCTCTCTTCCCACTAAATCATTGTGCTGCCGTTAAGTGGACTTATGTGAATGGTCTCACAAATGGAAAAGCACTTAATAAATTGCAAGCTATTATAGAAGTGTTAGTCAAATAAAAATAAAGAAATATAATATTTATAAATAAATAAATGGTGTATTGATCAAGCTTGCTGAGAAGAACCTCGAAGGCATGGGAGATGGAGAAGAAACCATGAGAAGGCCTTTTCCTCACTTGAAGCCTTGTTTCTTGTAAATGAGAATGTGTGCCTCTCACTGAAATAAAAGTATCCTATCATCTTAGGGAATGCCCTTTATAATAAAAAATTTGATTAAGAAAGCATTTATTTTTTAGTTTATGTAAGGGATGGGATAGAGCTATAGAGAATAGAAGTCTGTCATGGAAAAACACATGGAAACACAAAACGTACGTTACCAAATCTACAAGGGCAAACTAATAGTAAAATCACATGCTGGTGAAAGGCAGAGTGATCAGAACAACATCAAGATCACTGAGACAGTCATTGTAGGTGGATAGAGACTGTGAAAATTAAAAATCAATTCATTTCCCAAGAATGATGACTCTTTGCTTACCATAAAGTCACTTTTTTCCAAGTGAGGTTGAAACCCAGAAGAAACACAAGCAAAAAGTCTAATATGTTTTTGGATAAATATTATAATAATCACAACTACTATCTTAATGTTGATTAAGCTCTTTCTAATTTCCAAGAAGAGTGCTAAGTATTTGATGTGCTTTAAATGAATTAATTCACTCAATGAAGCAATCCAATTTGTCAGAGATTACAATGATTAGTAGACAAGGAGCTGGCCCCAAAACAAGGGCGTTGCCTCTACCATCCAAGCTTTACAACTGGCAGTCTGCAAATTGGCTGTGCACGTCTCTGCAGGAATATAAAATGACCTATTGGCGTATGAGAAGAAAATACGAAAGAAGTTCATTTCAATTTTTGTGTTTCTTTCTTTAAAAATTGTTTTCGTATAGGATATACAATATGCATAATATAGTAAGTTTATATGGCATCTAAGTATAAAAATTTACATATACTGTGGGTTGTGCTTAAAATATGTAATGATAGGAATGTGCACTCTAAACAGCTTGGAAAAGAATGCTTAAACTATTAAGCCATATGGCCCCAAAATTCAGACCAACCAAAAAAGCCATATACAAATTTCTTGCAAAAATTCTTTTTTAGTACATTCTTATCAATTTTGTTAAGCCAAATAAAAATCTCCTCGTAAAATTCAATTTCCATTTCACATTTTAGAAAAATTGTTAGCAATTCTGCTATTTGTAACTCAAATCCTTATAGATTAGAGTTGCAAATTACAAGGGAAAAGGTACTATTGGAGGCAAAATGATATTATCTAGAAGTCTGAACCGATATAGATCAAGATATTTTTTAAAAAATTGTTATAAATAGCAAGTATCAAATCTTTAAAATAGTCCATTTGGGGCCATTTAATATACATTTCACTTCATTGTAGCGAAATACATCAGGCAATAAACAAAGTGAGGACCTCCATGATGAAATATTCCCCTTCTGCTCAATATTTTCTGTATATAAGAAAGATATCTATCAGAGTGGCTAAGTGTATACATTAAAAGGCACAATAATAGCTATTATTATTACACTGTATTAGTTTCCTATTACTGCTGTAACAAATTACTACAAATTTAGTGGCTTAAAATAATACGAGTTTATTATCTTATATTTCCAGAGATCAGAAGTCCTAAATACGTTTATCTGCAGAGCTGTATTCCTTCTAGAGGCTCTAGGGGGGAATATCTTCCCTTAACTCTTCCAACTTCTCCAGGTCACCTGCATTCTCTGGTTTGTGATCCACATACAAAGAAAATCACTCCAACCTCTGCTTCTGTTACCATGTGACCTCCTCTCACTCTGACTCTACCACCTGCGTCTTACATTGGGGCCACTTGGATAATCTAGGATGATCTCCCTATCTCAAGATCCTAACCTAATCACATCTGCACAGTCCTTTTTACCTTGTAAGGTAACATATTCATCAGTTCCAAGGATTAGTGTATGGCATCTTTGGGGAGCCATTATTCAGCCTACTCCATGGTTTGACCTCTGGCCCCCAAAGATTCATGTCCATCTCACATGAAAAATATATTCATCTCACTCCAAGATCCTCCAAATTCTCAACCCATTATAGCATCAACTAAAATCCAAAATCTCATGTAAGTGTCATTAGCTCAAAAGTCCCACATCTCAAATCTCATCATCTAAATCATCTAAATTAGATATGGATGATGTTCTGGGTATAATCCATCATGAAGCAAAATTCCTCTCCATTTATGGGCCTGTGAAACTAGAAAACAAGTTATCTGTTCCCAAAATACAATGATGGGGGAGGCATAGGATAGCAGTTAATAGTTATAGATATTCCCCATGCAAAGGGATAAAATGGAAGGAAAAAAATAGTCACCAATCCCAAGCAATTTCAAAAATCCAGCTTGGCAAACTCCATTAGGGTTCAAGGCCTGGGAATAATCCTCTGTGGCTTCAATGTCTGTCCTCTGGACCTGCAGCTCTGCCCTCAGAGTCATCCTTCCTTTTTTTTTTTTGAAGGATAGCATGTGTTTGAGGTCGCGTGGTATCATTAGCCTGTTTCCTGCCTATAGAATTTTTGGGGTCAGATAGCCTTACTTCATTTCACCTTCTCTTTGTCCATTTCAGTCCAAGCTGGTAGTGTTTCCATTGTATAACATCTTAAAAAGCCTTGTAGGGGATTCACTTCATTAGACAAGATGCTTCTTCACAATCTTCCTTGGATAAACACATCTCTATTCCTGGCCTCTCCTGAAATGGCTGATGGGATTCATCATTCATACACCTAATCTCTTCCAAGAGCCCTTTATGTGATGAACATTCTGATCTTTTGGTCCTTGTGAGGCACTAGCAGAATCTTGTCCAGCCACATCCTTGGCTTTCTCTCTGGAGCACACTTTTCTGGCCATGAATCTCCTAATTTTAACATATTTTGAAATCTGGATAGGCTAAGAATTTCCCACATCATCAAGTTTTGGTTCCTTTTTGCTTCAGAGTTTTCTTCAACTTATCCCTTTCCTCATATTTTACTATTAGCAGGAAGAAGAAACTAGATTGCACTTTCAACAGTTTGCTTGGAAATTTCCCCAGATAAATAACCTAATTCATCATTTACAAGTTTTGCTTTCTACCTAACCTCAGGACAAAATTCAACTAAGTTTCCTGTCACTATATAACAAGGATCTTTTTTCCTCCAATTTCCAATAACTCTGTCCTCATTTCCTTCTGAGCCCTCAACAGCAATGATTTAACACTCATATTTCTACTAAAATTCTATTTATGATGATGCAGTTATTGTCCAAGATGATATAGGTTTTCTCTATTGTACTCCTCACTTCCTTCTGTATCTTCACCAGCAGTATCTTTAACGCCCATATTTTTACCAATAGTCTGTCTATGATCTCGGAATTTTCTAAAATGATACAAGTTTTTTCCTACTATGCTCTTCCCTATTCTTCCAGCCTCTGCCCCTTACCCAATTTGAAAGCCAGTTCTACATATTTAGGTGTGTGTTCCATACAGCAGTACCCTACTTCCAGGTACCAAAATCTATATGTATACCTTTTGTTGAGCGGCTACCATCTTCCAGTGTCAAGCTAAGCACTTTATAAACACCTTAATTAATTATCTTAACAACTGTCCAATGGAAACATTATTATAATTATTTTACAAATGTGAAAGTTTAATATGATTGAAAAATAATAGGCTTTGGACCTAGGCAGAAGTAGATTCAAATTCTGGTTTTATCACTCTTGAGCTGCATATTCTTGGGAAAATTACTTAATCTTTTAAAACTTTCTGAGCTTCAATTTCCTCAAAAATAAAATGGTGGAGATAAAACCTACCACACAAACACATTTTCTTTTCCTTTCTTTCTTATCTTTTGTTGTTGTTGGTGGTGGTGGTGGTGGAAGTGGTGAGGCTTACATAAGATGATATATGTAATATGCTTGCTTAGTGGGCATGTTATAGGAGTTGCTATTCTACATATTTTTCTATTCTGTTGCCACGTATGGAATTAACCCCCGTGGAAAAGAATATTACCGGAGGAGAGCAGGTGTATGTTATCAGAATTGCTGGTAAAGCAGAATAAAATAGATACATTTAGAGAGACAGGCTATTATTTCTTTCTGAAAGATCTATGGTGGTTGAAATACCTTTCAGTCTCCATGCATTTCCATTGCTTTTCTTAAGGATACTTAATAGTTAAGATATCAGACCTCTTGAATCGATTAGGGACAAGATAATGGATTCGGGAAAATCTTTATTTGATGAAAACTCAGACACGGAGGAGCTCTGTATTTTTATGGAAATTTGTTGATACATAAGGGCCAACATCAGCTTGGACAAAGAGAAAGTGTTATTATAATCTTTAGAATATATATACTAATTATATTGTATCCCTCTAAAGTCATTTATTTAAGAAAGAAATACAATTGTTGGTTTGTCAACGTGGGGGTTTAAAAAGTTCATAAAAATATGATACATTAAGTTAAAAGAAAAAAAAGGAAGCCTCTGGACCTATATTTGTTACTTGCCTCCTCAGTAAAGAATGAATTATTTGAAACAGTGAATTTTAACATAAACCAACCCAGGAGTCATCTCAGACTACCCCCTTGGAACCTGTCTGCAAATAGAAGTTTTATCACATGTCTTTTGAAAAGGGCACCCAACTAGGAAGAACACTTGTAGGCTACAGTTCAGAATCCTTAACATAATTTGTTGACTATTTTTTTCAACCAGATTTTTAAGCCGTCAGAAAGTAAGGCAGTTAATTTACATATTTACATATAAATATACACTGTACTGGAGACCTCAAATAGTCATCATTTTTATAGATAAGAATTACTAATGAAAATGTTTGCTCTCCTTTATTTTTTTTAGATACTTAATTTTTTTAGAGTAGTGTTAAGTTGACAACAAAATTGAGATGAAGGTACAGAGATTTCCCACATACCCCTTGCCGGCACACACGCATAGCCTCCTCCATTATCAACATCACTCACCAAAATGGTACATATTTTACAAAGGATGAAACTATACTGACACACCACAATCACCCAAAGTCCGTAGTTCAACTTAGGGTTCACTCTTGGTGTTGTACATTGTATGGGTTTGGACGAAAGTACAATGACATGTATCCATCATTATGATGTCATACAGAGTATTTTCACGCCCTAAAAGTCCTCTGTGCTCCACCCATTCTTCTCTCCACCCCACCCCCACCCTCAGCAATCACTATCTTTTCATTGGCTCCATAATTTTCCTTTTCCAGAATATCACATAGTTGGACCCATACAGTACGTAGCCTTTTCAGATTGACTTCTTTCACTTGTAATATGCATTTAAAATTCTTCCATGTTTTTTCATGGCTTCATAACATATTTTTTTAGCACTGAATAATATTTTATTGTCTGAATGTACCACAGTTTATTTATTCACTCACTGAAGGACATCTTGGTTATTTCCAAGTTCTGGCAATTATGAATAAGGCTACTATAAATATCCGTGTGCAGGTGTTTGTGTGCACATAAGTTTTCAACTCCTTTGGGTAAATGCGAAGAAGCGTGATTGCTGAATTGTATGGTAAAAGCATGATTGTTTTGTAAGAAATCAACACACTATTTCCAAAGTGGCCCAACCACTTTGCATTCCCACCAGCAATGCATGAGAGTTCCTGTTGCTCCACATCCTCATGAGCTTTTGATGTTATTGGTATTCCAGATTTTGACCATTCTAATAGGTATGTAGTGACCTGTTATTGTTGCTTTAATTAGCATTTCCCTGATAACATACGATGTGGAGCATCTTTTCATATGCTTGTTTGCCATCTGTGTATCTTCTTTGGTGACGTGTCTGTGTAGATCTTTTGCTGATTTTTAAATGAGGTTTTTTGTTTCCTTACTGTTGACTTTTAAGAGTTCTTTGTATATTTTGATAACAGTCCTTTATCAGATGTGTCTTTTTGCAAATATTTTCTCTGTGGCTTGTCTTCTAATTCTCTTGACGGCATCTTTTGCAGAGCAGAAGTTTTTAATTTTAATGAGGTGCAGCTTATCAATTTTTTCTTTCATGTATTGTGTCCTTGGTGTTATATCTAAAAATGCCTTGCCGTACCCAAAGTCATCTAGGTTTTCTCCTATGTTATCTTCTAGGAGTTTTACAGTTTTTTGTTTCACACTTAGGTCGATGACCCATTTTGACTTAATTTTTGTGAAGGGTGTAAAGTCTCTGTCTAAATTTACTGTTTTTCGGGCCGGCCCAGTGTCTCAGCGGTTAAGTACACGTGCTCCACTACTGGTAGCCCGGGTTCGGATCCGGGGTGTGCACCGATGCACTGCTTCTCTAGCCATGCTGAGGCCGCGTCCCACACACAGCAACGAGAAGGATGTGCAGCTGTGACCTACAACTATCTACTGGGGCTTTGGGGGAAAAATAAATAAACAAATAAAAAAATTTAAAAATAAATAAATAAATAAATAAATTTACTTTTTTGCATGTGGAATCAAAGTCTGCTATCTCCACACATTCCCTTCACCTCTACCTCCGCCTCTCCTTGACAAGTACTCTGAGATCTCACTTGGTTATCTTCTCCCTCTGGGCACCACAGGCTCTGCAGCAAACACTGCTTTGCTAAACTCTGGCTAGTGCTCTAGTTTCTCTACTTTTTTTCTTCCTGCATAACTGGATGAAGATCTCATCCCTGGGTGATAACCAAGGTAACTGTGTCTACATTCCAGGCTAAGGTACATGCTATTTCCTACAGAGTCGTTTTATCAGCAACTTGTAATTCCAGACATAGAAAATCATGACCTTCCATTTGCCCAGAAGGCATGAGGTCCATCTCAGCCAATCAGTCTTGACCTCTGTCTTCCTCGGGGCACCTTCCATTTCTTTCAGCAAAGCTAGATTTCCATGCTTTTTTGGGTCTTCTGTTAAATTAGTGTTATATTATAGCAATATAAACCATGAGAACACATCAACAATGAAAAGAAGTGTCTTTTATATGTCTTTTTGTTTTAAAGATGTCTAAAGTAATATATCAGTCTCATCATTTTTGGAAGAATAGGATCTCATGCCTAGGAGACATCTCAGGGTTCTTTCTACCGAAAGAATCCTTGAAAGATTATTTCTTTACACTATATAATTATTTTTAGAGTGCATAATATTCACCCTGGAAAACTTATATTGCCTTTCTGAGCTGATATGTGTCATAGTCAGTTATAGAATGTTTCATATTCAACTCAAGAAAACATACACTGCATTTGTGAGCTAAATGACACACATTACTAATTGTTTATTTTCACTTATTTTTATCTGCCTCTTGTGGGTTGAGTTGCTGCCAATGTATTTAGCTCAATAAATGTTCCTGTTCCACTCTTCCTGGCTTCATAATCAACTTGTAGCTTCTAGTCGCATCTCAAATAAATATTGGCAAAGCAATTTAAATCCTTAAAATGCCTTAGCAGATTGATACAGTCTTAGCTGGAGAAAAAACAAAAACAGAATCCTCAATATGCATCGTGTTTATCAGCCTTTATCACGGTGTTCTTTGACTCTAATGGATTCAATGAGTCAAACAAATGCCATGTTTCTCTCGGACTCTGAAATCTTGGGCTAAGTAAAAGTGATGTTTAATATCCTGCGAGTATATTTGTAGTTGATGGTAGTTTCATGTGAAACAAAAGAGAATTGGGGAAAAATGAGCTTATGTATGGGCTCTAACAGAACACATTATGATAAATTCAAAAAAAGCTGGATAGCAAACATAGCTGTTGAACTGGCAAATTGCCATAGTCAAGACGGTGTTCTGGGAATTATACTCAAGAAAAAAATGTTAAGTTAATAACTATTCCCAGCCTAGATTTTCCTCTTTTGAGGACTTGGCTGCCAATGTCATCTGCTGACATC